CACTAATTTAAGGTGAAGTGAAACCCCCTTCAAATCAGTCGATTCGAATACAACACTTTTTTTTAAGGGTATTAGACCAAACTGTCAGAAACTTTGACACGTCTAAGAATTGTCCTGACACATTCAAAATTTGGATTTTTAAGGTGAAGTGAAACATCCTTCAAATCAGTCGATTCGAATACAACACTTTTTTTTAAGGGTATTAGACCAAACTGTCAGAAACTTTGACACGTCTAAGAATTGTCCTGACACATTCAAAATTTGGATTTTTAAGGTGAAGTGAAACATCATTCAAATCAGTCGGTTCTAATACAACACTTTTTTTTAAGGGTATTAGACCAAACTGTCCGAAACTTTGACACGTCTAAGAATTGTCCTGACACATTCAAAATTTGGATTTTTAAGGTGAAGTGAAACATCATTCAAATCAGTCGATTAGAATACAACACTTTTTTTTAAGGGTATTGGACCAAACTTTCCACACAACTGATCATCTAAGAATTGTCCTGACACATTGAAAATTTGGATTTTGTAAACAAAGTTTTTAATTCAGTTAAATATGCCAGATTACTTTAGTAAGCGTGACTTTCCACGATTTTTGTTGTATTTCATCGAATGTTTAAAGACCCAATTATGATTATAAATCTTTATATTTTATAAGGTAAGATGATGTTACCGAATATAATAAATGTAACTGTAAAATTTGGAGAACAAAAAACGACATCTAATTACTTCGTGGTATTCCGTACTTCAGTGTCAACTACTCAGTAATGCGCTCTGTTCATAGCGATCACATTTTGACCCAAGCGCTCCGGAACGAAAGGGTTAAGGTGAAGTGAAACCCCCTTCAAATCAGTCAATTCGAATACAACACTTTTTTTAAAGGGTATTAGACCAAAGTATCCGAAACTTTCACACATCACTCCTGATCATCTAAGAATTGTCCTGACACATTGAAAATTTGGATTTTTCAACAAATTGTTTGAACTCAGTCCAGACCAGAACCAAAATGGCGTCGAGCCCTCATATTTCGATCAACATACAATTATCGAAGGCTCCGATATGAGAATCGCGAGTCATGACAATTTTACGACAATTTAGAACACTTTGATAATCGATAAACTCACATTTGAACGGGATAAGGGCAAAAAAAGTGTTGTATGCGCTTCTTTGCCAAAACGATGGTAATACGAGGTCTCGGAGTGAAAATTTAATTGACGTAGAAATCACAGATGGCGCAGGGGGTCCCTCCGCAGTCAATTAGGGCCCCAGAAAGCACGAATCCAGAGGATTTCTGGAGTTTTACTTCGATTTCTTTATAATTATTGTCCGAAAACGACAGGTGGAGTACGCCATTTGGTACAATACCCAATATAATTCGACCCAGCTGTCAATATAAAAACCAACGTCGGCAACGTAGGCATTTATAAAAATCTTCTTTATCGACGTCGATCAAGTTCCTCGACGTGTTTCACTTCACCTTAAAACGACCGGTCGGTTCCCATGCGCCTGCGCTCACAGACGCACTAGACGAGGAAAAATGAGCGGGTTCAATTTTGTAGAAAATCGACGACAGGCCGTGTCTCGCGTTTTCCCTTGAATTTGAGAAAACGGCTCGACGTCGGGTCCCCTCTTTATCGCGTCCTCCGTGGGGCGGAAAATCGTCAGCTATTTCCGTCGCGTCCTCAGGATCGAACTTCTCCGGGTTACGATTTCGCGGGAAACGTGCCTCGAAACGATTTCCTCCAAAGAATCCCGCAGCGATTAGCGAATCTCCAGAACACTAAAAGAGGGGACTTGCCCGCGTTTTACCTTATAGGGTAAGTCCGGGATAGTTGGACCATGTTTTTTTAAAGTGATTTTTTTCTGAAACTTCGCAATGTCTAGGATTTGGTATATTTTTTTCTAATATGTATATATGACCTCGAACAATTGTAAGCACTTCTCCAGCTGTTACACTGATCACACTTGAAGTTATGATTTTTTTCTTTTTTTTTTACTCGGTAGTCCATCTATCCCGGGGGTACTCGGGTTAGATGGACCACCTCTTAGGGATTGATGGACCTCTGGTATACGTTACTAAATCAGGGTGTAACACAAGAAATACATGTTATCAAAGGTATAAACATCGTTTATTTCAAAGTATAAAGTTATAAACTGCTTGATAAGTGATTAGTATAGAGTTATAAACTATTTGGAAAAGGATAAGTAAATTTGATAGTCAATATACTTAGAAAGTATAGGTAGTCTGATTTATATTCACATCCATCCATCCATTCGTCCTTATATCCATTTATATAGAAAGTAAAGCCCTAATAGGAGATATGGTCCGCCTATCCCAGGTTTTTTCAAGTAGTCCATCTATCCCAATTGTCGGGGATAGATGGACCAGTTTCCCGTCCAGACAAACAACGCTACCGGCATGCCATTTTAGGTTAAGATTGTACTCAAGTATACACTTGAGTTATAGGATTGATCTTACGTCGAAATCATTTAAACTAACTTAACCACATATCAAATAAATCCAGTATAAAATATTTTTCAACTCACCAAAAGAAATAAACAAAGTTTTCTTCTAAAATACGCATGAAACTCATGAGCAAAACTAAGCGTGGTTCCGTCTACTCAAGAAGAACAACTTCAGACAACGACTGCAGCGCTGCTGTGACACCCCAGCCAAGTATTCGACTAGTCCGTCTATACCGGTGGTCCATATATCCCGGACTTACCCTATTTCATTTCGTTAGTCCTTACAACTTTTTCGGCCAAGTTAGAACTTTTTCGGCCAAGTTACAACTTTTTTGGCCAAGTCGATTCTTTCTCCGGCAAATCTCGGGTGGATAAATCTTCTCCAAGAAGTGTGCCCGGTGGCCGGAATCCATGGCCAGAGTTTTCCTTAATAATTCCTGAAAATTGTTGAATAATCCTGGGGTATTAGTTTTTTGGAATCCCGCTCGTAAGACGGCCGTGACGGTCAATCGAGATCGTAGTACGCCCGGCGGACGCGGGGGGGCCGGCCGCCTTTCATTCGTGCCTTCGCCGCGCGCTCCCCGCCGCGCCGCCTCTCTGCTTTCCCGAGTTTAAGGTGAAGTGAAATACCCTTCAAATCAGTCGATTCGAGTACAACACTTTTTTTTTAAGGGTATTAGACCTCCTGGAACCTGCTCGAATTTCTGGACAAACTTCCCAAAAGTTGGATATCAAGTAAAAAGCGAGGGTAGTCGTAAGTACCGATACTTAAGGTGAAGTGAAACACCCTTCAAATCAGTCGATTCGAGTACAACACTTTTTTTTAAGGGTATTAGACCAAACTGTCCGAAACTTTGACACATCGAAGAATTGTCCTGACACATTCAAAATTTGGATTTTTCAACACAATTTATTAACTCAGTCCAGACCAGAACCAAAATGGCGTCGATCTCTCATATTTCGATCAGTATAAAATTATCGAAGGCTCTGATATGAGAATCGGAAGGGTCAGGACAATTTTACGAGAATTTAGAACACTCTGGTAATCGATAAACTCGCATTTGAACGGGATAAAGGCAAAAAAAGTGTTGTATGCGCTTCTTTGCTAAAACGATGGGAATACAGGGTCTCGGAGTGAAAATTTAATTGACCTGGAAATCACAGATGGCGCAAGGGGTCCCTCCGCAGTCAATTAGTGCCCCAGAAAGCATGAATCCAGAGGATTTCTTGAGTTTTATTTGGATTTCTTTATAATTATTGTACGAAAACGACAGGTGGAATATGCCATTTGGTACAATACACAATATAATTCGACACAGCTGTCACTATAAAAACGAACGTAGGCATTTAGAAAAATCTTCTTGGGCGGTCATTTTCATATAAAAAAGTGCAACGACATAATTTCAATGCCTTTTAACTAGGAAGGAGGTGCTCGATCGAAAATCCCTCCCATATGAACACACGTCAACATTTTATCTTTAAAACGAGCACCCGTTGAGCTCGATCGGTTGAGAAATACGCTCAAAATCGTTGTCCCCGTGGAGGACCTTTTTCAGTATTTTCGAATTTCCCGCGAGGAACTTGGGCGTCCTTGGCAACCGTTGCCGACTCTACGTGCGGGCGGCCGGGGGTCACCCACGTTTCGGCGCCTAGTCCAGAGGCGTCTAGCCGTTGCGTGAGTCCTATACGTGCAAAATACCCAGACATTTTTCGCCCTTTGCTAAACACCGCCCATTATGCGTCGCGTCTCCCTCATCCGAGCGAGAAAGTACGTTTTGGTTACCTCCCACCGAATTCGATGCTAGTGCCATCTAGCGGTGGAAGTCATCGTCCCCACTTTGGTGGTGAACGCCGTTAAGACGCAGCTCCGAGCGAGCGGCAACTACCAATTACCGCTGCAATGGTTTAATCATTCTTTTGTGCATCGCATGAATGGCCAAGAGGCCATTAATTAATTAGAACCAATCCCGGACACGACCAAGTTTCTTAACACCCACGAAAACGGCGCCGCGTTTCGTTGAATTTCCTCCTCGAAAATGAGATCGAACGTTAGACCGTTCCGGAGATCAAAATTAGAGGTTCCGATTCTTGGAACGAAATGTAAAATTCCCGGATACAGGGATTCGACACTGCCATGTATTCGGGTGTAACGCTTTATGCACTACCGCCATCTTCGGTTGGAGTAAACCTTCTTCGCGAACTAAAATATTTGGCGGGCTATTCAAATTCATTTATTAAATANACTTGTAAAAATATTGCCACTAATCGAGATTAGGTTCACTCTGCTTCACTTGTCCCGACAATTTTCATGCGCATCTCCGCTGCGCATCCCGGAGTCTCTCGCTATTGGTTAGAATAAATTTTTCTCTGTTCTTCTCTTTCTATCAGACTGAAAAGTCCCGACACCAGCGCAGTCTTTGCTTGGAGTAGGTGAACTAACTTCAGCGTCACGCCTCTCCCACGAGGAGCGTCGACCCCCTGTCGGGGTCCATCTCGATTTCCAATCCTGACGATTTCCCTCTCGCTTCCAGGTACCGGTGAGTCGGGCAAGTCCACCTTCATCAAGCAGATGAGAATCATCCACGGCTCCGGGTACTCGGACGACGACAAGCGGGGCTTCATCAAGCTGGTGTACCAGAACATCTTCATGGCCATGCAGTCCATGATCCGCGCCATGGACCTCCTCAAGATCCAGTACGCGGAGTCCTCGAATATCGTGAGCGTCCACCTCCTTCTCCTCAGGACGTACCGGAACCCCCGCAACCGATAACGCCCTTCTCTTCTTTTAGGAAAAGGCAGAGCTCGTCCGAGGCGTGGACTTCGAGACCGTGACGACGTTCGAGAGCCCCTTCGTCGAGGCCATCAAGGACCTCTGGGCGGACGCGGGGATCCAGGAATGCTACGACCGCCGTCGAGAGTACCAGCTCACGGATTCCGCCAAATAGTGAGTCGATAACGTCGATACCGTCCTTACCGTCGATACCGTCTCGAGACACCCGAGGTCGGACCTCCACCCGGGAGAAAGGGCGACGAGAGCGGCGTTATGTTTGCACCGGTCGTGGACTCGGACGGCCTTAATTGTCGGGGACCTCGCGAGGCCGGGGCTCCAGAATTCTCTCGAATAGATGTTTTCTAGAACCATGTTGCAGCTACCTGATGGAGATAGACCGGGTGGCGGCCCCCGACTACCTCCCCACAGAACAGGACATTCTTCGCGTGAGAGTGCCGACCACTGGTATAATCGAGTATCCCTTTGACTTGGAAGAGATCCGGTTTAGGTATGTCCGACCGAGGGAGGAAGAAGAAGGCCGCTACTTGCATCCGACACTTGTCTCTGCATCGTCTAATGTGCCTGCAACTATGTCGTGGTCGCCATTACTAATTTCTCACCACTTTGTCCGTCGTTGTTTCTTGTCCTTGGCTCGGCCCCGGTTTACGTTCGGTCTACCTTCGGTCTACGTTTAACTTAAGGGGGTGTGAAAGTGGCGTCCGAAAGCTCAATCGTTCAGAAAACTTTTTTACGAATTGGGTGTCTCAAAGTCGTTTCATACTTTAAAACGTGAATATGGAGACCCTAAGGTAGGTTCTGAAACTCGTGAAATTTCATTTTTTATAAACTATTTTTAAAATATGTATAAAGAAATTTGAAAAGAATTGAAATTTCATGAGTTTCAGGACCTTCCTTATAGTCTCCCTATTCATGTTGTAAAGTTTTAAACCATTTAGTAAATCGAGTTGGGAGGAAAGCTTTATAAACAAAACCTCTTGACGCCACTTTCAGGTCCCCTTAAGGCGATGTCAAAGTGGCGTCATAGATCTCGTTTATGAAACATTCCTCCGAACGTAATGAACCGAATCATTTCAAACTTTACAATATGAATTAGACGCTATAAGGAAAGTGTTGACACTCATGAAATTTCAATTTTTATTAAAACACGTTGAACATGTATATAATCAAATATCGAAACAATTGAAATTTCATGAGTTTCAGGACCTTCCTTATACCTTCCCTATTCACGTTGTAAAGTTTCAAACTATTCGGTAAATCCAGTTGGGAGAAAAGTTTAATAAACAATACCTCTTCGACGCCACTTTCACGTCCCCTTAATCGGACTTATCTAGGGTCATTAACCGGTCCACTTTTTCTCTTATTCTCTTTCTTGTCATAGTAACGGGTACGTACGATTTTTCCGTATCCGATTGCAAATCGATTTCGAGGGATACGACGGAGATCGTGAGAAATTCGAGCCTCGTTTTTCCGCAATCTTTCCAGAGAAATTCAACGAAGCATGCATAACGTCGCATCGTGAGGTCGCCCTGCTCCTGAGAAACGCCCTTAATATATTTCTGCATGGCATGCACCGTCAAGACTGTGGCTTGGTTTGTTTTGCAGTTATCTTAGTGACCTAGAACGTATCGAAAAGTCCGACTTCCTCCCCACCGAGCAAGACATTCTTCGGGCTCGAGCTCCCACAACCGGAATTATAGAATACCCGTTTGACCTGGACTCCATCATCTTTAGGTACTAACACTCGTAAGATTACTGCGTTCACCCGGGACTAATTTAAGGTTTAGGGTGCAAAAAGAAAATGAGATCCTCGAGGACGGTCGGGTAAAAAGAGCTTAGCCTCTATTTATCTTTATGGTGTTACCTTAAGGTGAAGTGAAACACCCTTCAAATCAGTCCATTCTAATACAACACTTTTTTTTAAGGGTATTAGACCAAACTGTCCGAAACTTTGACACATTGTAGAATTGTCCTGATACATTGAAAATTTGGATTTTTCAACACAATTTTTTAACTCACTCCAGAACAGAACCAAAATGGCGTCGAGCTCTGATATTTCGATCGATATACAATTATAGAAGGCTCTGATATGAGAATCGAAAGGGTCAGGACAATTTTACGATAATTTAGAACACTCTGGTAATCGATAAACTCGAATTTGAACGGGATAAGGGCAAAAAAAGTGTTGTATGCGCTTCTTTGCTAAAACGATGGGAATACGAGGTCTCGGAGTGAAAATTTAATTGACCTGGAAATCACAGATGGCGCAGGGGGTCCCTCTGCAGTCAATTAGGGCCCCAGAAGGCATGAATCCAGATTTCTGGAGTTTTACTTCGATTTATTTATAATTATTGTACGAAAACGACAGGTGGAATATGTCATTTAGTAAAATACACTATATAATTCGACCCAGCTGTCAATATAAAAACGAACGTCGGCAACGTAGGCATTTAGAAAAATCTTTATCGACGTCGATCAAGTTCCTCGACGCGTTTCACTTCACCTTAATAATAAGTAGATGGAATAACGTATCCATCTTCTGTAACGTTAAGGTGAAGTGAAACCCCTTTCAAATCAGTCGATTCGAATACAACACTTTTTCTTAAGGGTATTAGACCAAACCGTCCGAAACTTTGACACATCTAAGAATTGTCCTGACACATTGAAAATTTGGATTTTTCAACCGAATTTTTTTACTCAGTCCAAACCAGAACCAAAATGGCGTCGAGCTCTCATATTTCGATCAACATACAATTATCGAAGGCTCTGATATGAGAATCGAAAGGGTCAGGACAATTTTACAACAATTTAGAACACTCTGGTAATCGATAAACTCGCATTTGAACGGGATAAAGGCAAAAAAAGTGTTGTATGCGCTTCTTTGCTAAAACGATGGGAATACGAGGTCTCGGAGTGAAAATTTAATTTACCTGGAAATCACAGATGGCGCAGGGGGTCCCTCTGCAGTCAATTAGGGCCCCAGAAAGCATGAATTCAGAGGATTTCTGGAGTTTTACTTCGATTTATTTATAATTATTGTACGAAAACGACAGGTGGAATATGCCATTTGATACAATACACAATATAATTCGACATAGCTGTCAATATAAAAACCAATGTCGGCAACGTAGGCATTTAGAAAAATCGTTATCGACGTCGATCAAGTTCCTCGACGTGTTTCACTTCACCTTAAAAAAAATTCGTGTGAACGCGTTGCATGCTATCGAAATTACCGACTCGATGGGATCAAAAGTTGAAATAATCATGGGAGATTATTTCATGATTAATCCCTTCTCTGTGATGTTTCTTACGATTCATTCGTGTTGAATGTTGCATGTCGAAATTACTAACGTCGATGGAATTAAATGTTGAAATTATTCCTGAGGATTCTTTTTTATTTTTATTTCTTTTCTTTTACTCGTCACGACGATTTAATCATCCTGCATGGATTATCATTTAGCTTGATTAAACCCTGGGCTCCTTTCCGACTGATACAGTCTCTCGATTGCAGATTTTTCTTAATCTCTTAAATTCTTTTTTTCTGGAATAAAATATAGTCATTATGATTGAAATTGTCTAAGAAATTATACGAGGAATTAGTAGGGGTTGCATTCTTGCGTTGTTAGTTAATGTTTATGTTGGAATTAACGTACATTCTGCTTTTAGGATGGTAGACGTCGGCGGACAAAGATCTGAAAGAAGAAAATGGATCCATTGTTTCGAGAACGTCACTTCCATTATATTTTTAGTAGCTTTAAGTGAATACGATCAAATTCTGTTTGAATCAGAGAATGAGGTGAGCATTGCATTTTTATTTCTTTTCTCGTGGGAGAATTTTTAATTCTTTTTCATTCTTACAGAATCGGATGGAAGAAAGTAAGGCGCTCTTCAAGACGATCATAACATATCCCTGGTTTCAACACTCCTCCGTTATTCTGTTCCTAAATAAGAAAGACCTGCTGGAGGAGAAAATTATGTACTCCCATCTGGTCGACTACTTCCCCGAATACGCCGGTGAGTTTTTTTTGGTAGCCGTTAAAAATTAAGACTAAGAGATATTTTTAACTAAAAAAGAATCCTAGACACCCCTTTGACGACCCAGAAATTTCCTTCGTTAGTATACGTCGGTACATGGTCAAGTTTTGTGGTGTAGGCCCTAAACAGCAGGATGTACCAGCCAGAGAGTTCATCTTAAAGGTGTACCTCAGAGAAAATCCTGATCCAGACCGAATGTGTTACTCTCACTTCACCTGCGCGACAGGTCTGTTTAAAAAATGTACCACGGAGCTAAACTCGTAGATGTAATTATGCTATTGCGCCTCTCTGTGATCCTAACAATAAAACATTCCCAAGTGTCCGCCCCCGATCTTATTGATTCCCATATATGTTGAAGAACACAAAAATCTAAGAGACAGGTGTTTTTTTTATATCTGCAATGGTCCACATTTAAGGGGCGTAACAACCCCCCAAAGTTTGGCGAAAATTCAGTTTTTATAATAATTTTCCTAGAAGCAGTGGAGGGATTTCGACGAAACTTGGTATAAACGTATTCTGTATAAGGACGGTGAAAACACAATATTGTCCAGCAATGTTACACCCCCCCAAGGGGGTGAACTACCCTTCAGGCGACATTTTTTTGTAATATCTAATAAACAAGCACTCCTACTTACGTCCCACTTACGCGATGTGATTGCTCACAAAAAATGAAGAATCCGTGTTTTTTGCTTTTTACCAATAAACATTTACACATCGGTTGTAAACAATGAATGGAGGTGGTATACGGGTATATTCCGAGTAGCTTTATTGGGTTATATCGTGACCAATTCATTGTACATAAATCTTGTGAACGTGCTAATTCCTCAAAATGTCGTTGGTTTTCATAACATGCAATTATTTACGAATATCGCTAACTCTATTATCGTAAAAACGGTAAAAATCCAATTTTACCGTTTCACCAAGGAGATTGTATTCCTAGTTGGAAACGGGTGATGACTGCGTCATCGGATCTGTTGCGAAACTATTTTAGTCTCTTAAACTTGTTTTCAAATTTATTTATAAATAATTGCATGCTATGAAAAACAAGGACATTTTGAGGAATTAGCACGTTCACAAGATTTATGTACAATGAATCGGTCACGATATAATCCAATATACCTAGTCGAAATATACCCGTATACCACCTACATTCATTGTTTACAACCGATGTGTAAATGTTTATTGGCAAAAAGCAAAAAACACGTATTTCTTCATTTTTTGTGAGCAATCACATGGCGTAAGTGGAACTTAAGTAGGAGTGCTCGTTTAATAAATATTACAAAAAAATGTCGCCTGAAGGATAGTTCACCCCCTTGGGGGGTTGTAGCATTGCTGGACAATATTGTGTTTTCACCGTCCTTATACAGAATACGTATATACCAAGTCTCGTCGAAATCCCTCCACTGCTCCTACGAAAATTATTATAAAAATCCAATTTTCCCCAAACTTTGGGGGGTTGTCTCACCCCTTAAATGCGGACCATTGCAGATATAAAAAAACACGTGTCTCTTAGATTTCTGTGTTCTTCAACGTGTATGAAAATCAATGAGATCGGGGGCCGACACTTGGGAATGCTTGTAAGTAATTTTGCCAGTCGCGTGTTACCTATCCAGTTACGCGTTGTAATCTATGCATAGGCATCGACCAAACATTTTCCTAGTTGGAGGATTTACCGAGCTACTTCCAGTTATGCAAGGGACGAAGCTCGTTAACAGGGCCACGAAAAGGTTTCCCTGATTAGTGCTGGTTTCTAATTCAATAAGTTGTCCTTGGAGCATATATTGGATTTAGTCGGAGGTACGATGTTCCCCTAGAGGTCGGTCCCCCTCCCGTTGCTAGTATTATTCGATGTATGTAAAGCTGGAATTGCCACTTTAGCACAATTAAATAAAATTTATTGTTAATTCATTGCTATTTTATTGCACAAGAGAAGAATTTTTTCCTCTTATACTTTTCCGAAAAATGGCGGCGACGTCAGCTTTATATAAACCTAACACTGCCAGAATAAAAAAACAATTATTAAGTAAATATTCATCGATGAATTATATACCAGAATTTATTGCTAATTAATTGCTCGCGGAAAAACCAAATTTCAATTTCTTTCCTCACCCCTAGGGATGATCGCAGGACAGAAACATGAAAAACATGGAAGAATCGAACTATTTGTTCACGTGGGAATTAATCGCTAATTAATGTAGCTTTGAAAATTGTATTTTTACAAAGATATTCATCAGCACTAGGGTTGGCGATTCACCCCTTTAGGGGTGAGGAAAAAAATTGAAATTTGGTTATTTCTGCGAGCAATTAATTAGCAATAAATTCTTGCATATAATTCCTCGATGAACATTTACTTAATAATTGTTTATTATTGTGGCAGTGCTAGCTTTATATAAAGCTGACATCGCCACCATTTTTCGGCAAAGTATAGGAGCAACAAATTGTTTCCTTGTGCAATAAAATAGCAAGAAATTTTATTGAATTGTGCTAAAGTGGCAAATCCAGCATTATATGCATTATTATTCGGGCACCTGATCCCCTTAGCTCGGCCAAAAAAAAAAAAGAAAAGAAATTGTAAAGAAAAATCCAAGAGCACGTAGAAGTAACCCTACCTGTAAATCCGCTTGCTGTATATTCCACAGGCCCACAGAGGGATGCCTTAACAGCTAGAGAATTCATTCTGAGGATGTTCGTTGACTTGAATCCGGATTCCGAGAAGATTATTTATTCCCACTTCACGTGTGCCACAGGTAGGCTTTTTAGCGCGTCCGCTTATTGGCTGTAATTATGCACGAGGTGCTTTTACTGGGCATGCTTTACGCCTTTTTTTTTTCTCTCTCTCCCTTTGCTTCCCTTGGTTGGATTCGAGGTACTCTCGGTTTGTGTTTACATCGAGGTAAACCAATCGAAACGCGTGCCCATTACAAGGGACAATTGAGCCGCTCAGTGCACACATTAACTCCATAAAAGAAAAAGTTGAGAAATGCGATGAAGTAATGTAGATTCTTTTTTAAAACTCCTATTATAATATAACTTCAAATATATAATGTAGAATACATAAATACAGTTATAGTTTTCATCTAACGGTATATAAAATTAATAAGAAAGAATAGCGAAAAAATAATCGTCTGCATTTTATATCGAGAAATGTTTTTGCAGGTATTAAATATCCTCCCCTATTCCTGTATGCCGAACCTTTTGTTCCGTTATGCTTTTGTAAATTTCGTGCCCATTTGTCAGGATTAGGACTTCTTTTCCTCCCAATCGATGGGTTTGTTGGGGGATTTGTACCGTTGCAATCGGATGAATCCGAGAAACGCGATAAACGTCTTCTTGCACCAGACTTTCTGCTGATAAATCGTATCGAAGAATCATCCCTGCTTTCCACATCCACATTGTTATTAGTTTCACTCATCTTGATTATAACGGTATAATATTTAGTTCTTTAAAAACAATCAGGGAGTAAGGTTGAAAAGAGCAAAAAATATGTAGTCCGTGTAATATTGGTGAAGTATACGGTAACATTCAGCGTGAGAGATCACTGTTATACCAACTACCGTCTGCATTGCGCTTCTTTCTATCCGTTTGCTGATGGGATTTTATTACTCATATTGTTGAAAGGGGGAAAGCATCTTCGGCTGTTAAAAAAAAAAGCGTCGATGTACGGCCGCAACAGATAATCCAATAATACTATACTGCCAGGTATTCGTCTACGATTTACATTAGAGTATGGAGCTAATCAAAATGGCTTCTGAAATAAATTACTTATTATTCAATGCCCAAAAAAATTTCGCCGTTTAATGGTGTCAATCTCTATTACTCAGGAAAGATATTATAAATGTAAAAAGTTATGACTATACCAAGTGCTTTGACACCTAAATTTAAGATTTTTCAAAAAGTGGAGTTAGTCGATGTGTGCACTGAGCGGCTCAATTGAGAGCCGAGCAAGTGCCAAGCATTTCAATTGATTTCTCTCGATTAAAAATGGAGATGTGTTTATTAACGAGTTAACTTGTTAATTATATTGCATGCTGCATGTGTGGGACCGCTTATCAGACACGGAGAATATCAAGCTCGTGTTTTGCGCCGTGAAGGACACTATCATGCAGAGCGCTCTCAAGGAGTTCAATCTCGCCTAATGGCGGAGTTTTTTCCCCTTTTTTCCCCGTTTTTCTTTTCACGAGGATTATCCGCGGTTTTTGCGATCGAGTAACAGATTTCAAGACAGGGATTCGGGTACTTGACTCGTTACGATAAGTCTGACGGGTTAAGGTGAAGTGAAACACGTCGAGGAACCTGATCGACGTCGATAAAGGAGATTTTTCTAAATGCCTACGTTGCCGACGTTGGTTTTTATATTGACAGCTATGTCCAATTATATTAGGTATTGTACCAAATGGCGTACTCCACCTGTCGTTTTCCTACAATAATTATAAAGAAATCCAAGTAAAACTTCAGAAATCCTCTGGATTCGTGCTTTCTGGGGCCTTAATTGACTGCAGAGGGACCCCCTGCGCCATCTGTGATTTCCAGGTCAATTAAATTTTCACTCCGAGACCTCGTATTACCATCGTTTTGGTATACAAGCGCATACAACACTTTTTTTGCCTTTATCCCGTTCAAATGCGAGTTTATCGATTACCAGAGTGTTCGAAATTGCCGTAAAATTGTCCTGACCCATTCAATTCTCATATCAGAGCCTTCAATAATTGTAGATTGATCGAAATATGAGAGCTCGACGCCATTTTGGTTCAGTTCTGGGCTGAATTAAAAAATTTGTTTATAAAATCCAAATTTTGTATGTGTCAGGACAATTCTTAGATGATCAGGAGTGACGTGTCAAAGTTTCGGACAGTTTGGTCTAATACCCTTAAGGTGAAGTGAAACCCCCTTCAAATCAGTCGATGCGAATATAACACTTTTTTTTAAGGGTATTGGACCAAATTGTCCGAAACTTTGACACATCGCTCCTGATCATCTAAGAGTTGTCTTGACACATTCAAAATTTGGATTTTTTAACGAAATTTTGTATGCCAGACATTTTTTATACCAGAACCAAGATGGCGTCAAGCCCTCATATTTCAATGGATATATAATTATCGAAGGCTCTAATATGAGAATCGAAAGGGTCAGGACAAGTTTACGACAATTTAGAACACTCTGGTAATCGATAAACTCGCATTTGAACGGGATAAGGGCAAAAAAAGTGTTGTATACGCTTCTATGCCAAAACCATGGTAATACGAGGTCTCGGAGTGAAAATTTAATTGACCTGGAAATCACAGATGGCGCAGGGGGTCCCTCTGCAGTCAATTAAGGCCCCAGAAAGCATGAATCCAGAGGATTTCTGGAGTTTTACTTCGATTTTTTTATAATTATTGTACGAGAACGACAGGTGGAGTACGCCATTTGGTACAATACCCAATATAATTCGACCTAGCTGTCGATATAAAAACCAACGTCGGCAACGTAGGCATTAAGAAAGACCTTTATCGACGTTGTTCCTCGACGTGTTTCACTTCACCTTAAAAAGAAGTGCTGTATTCGAATCGACTGATTTGAAAGGGGTTTCACTTCACCTTAATCCGAGCGGATCGACGTCATTGTTATACCGATGGATGCTGCGTAAGAACTCGATTTAATTGTAGGAATTGCAAGTCGCTACGATTTATCGTTACTCCTTCAGCCATCTGGAGACCAATTGGCTCGGGTCACTCGCAACTTCCTTTTTTCTTTCCGAGCCCACGTCGAGGGTGACCGGTAACGTAATTGCATCTCGCATGGTCACCGGAGACAATATTATGTTTTGCACAAAAACCCAGACGATTTTTTAGTCGAAACGCGACTCTCTGACGGGGAACTTTTGTACGCTGCAGGGCCGGCTATGACATTAAGGCGATATGAAAGTGGCGTGCGAGGAGTCATAAACAAATGACACATCATTCTTTTCCCAAACCGACGATCCAAGCACAGTTTAATTATTAATGTTTAACCCTCTGTAAGTCTCCATACCCTTGTTGATATTTGTGCCCATAATTATGAAAGTGGTCTAAGTAATATATTTCTTGTTTCGAGATATTTAATGCATTGCATTTGAATAAANATATTTTTTAAAATGTTTCTGACAAACTGGAGGGATGTATGGTAATAAACACATAATATCTTTGTTTTAAAGAAGTATTACGTGGTCGTATAATATATGCAAATCATATCATATCTGAATAATAATTAACGTATTCACATAATAAGTACGTTGTCATTAACGTAAGTTAGGTAACTGAACCGCTATCTGTTGACATAGTGGAAAAATATATAAATTATTTTTCCGCCAATAATTAGTTCGGAAGAGCCCAACTGAATTAATGCACTTTCAAAATAGAACTAAATGAATTCCATATATTGTTAGGTAGACCGAAAAGTATTGTCGTTTCTGTTATCGTTTGATTGTCATTTGTCGGCTTATCGTGTAGTTCAAAAACCCGCCAAGGAGGGCCACGTGCTATTTTAAGGTTATGTTTATATCATTTCTTTAAACTTTTGACTTAGACCACTTTCATAATTAACACTAAATGAATTCCATATAATATTGAAATTACAGTCACTATCTAATGGTTCATTTTTGACAATATCGCAAAAAATTACATTGAATTAATTTAGTTTAAAATAATATGGGGTAAAATAACTGATAAACTCATTTTTTTTTAATTTTGACTTAGACCACTCATAATTATGGGCTCATTTCTTCTCTTCGATTTTTCCAGCGAGACTTAACGTAGCACCTCATTATTCTCGGTAAATTTATAAACTATAATAATTGCATTACAGAGGGTTAAACAATGTCGTACAGTCGATGGCCGATTAATTACCTGCGGGATTTAAATTTTCAGGATTAGTTTACAGAAACGTTTTTTAGGAATTTCCTGACAGGTGTAGCGTTAAATGGGATTCATTTTTTTAAGCACTCCATCGGGAGAAATAATTCCGGCGCGACGTAAAAAAAAAGAAAAAAAAATACTAGAAGAGCAAGGAGTAAATCTGTAAATGTTCAATTACAAGAGCATGGAATTACGAGGGATGTGAATCGTGTAATTAATTAATTGGCAACCGTCTGTACCCGTTACACCTGTTTGCTCGGGGGTGCGTGTTCGCTCTAGATTCGCGAATGACTCGTGCACTGCCTTAAGGGACTGTCCGTCGAATTAAACCGCGTATTAAAATGGATCTCCTATCAGAGGAAAATAAATATGCTTTATAGGACGACATGGCATTTGTGTTCAGTAGAATCGTCCTTTTGAAGCCTCGACTGCCACCCATCCTGTAAATCCTGTTTAAGGTGAAGTGAAACATCCTTCTAATCAGTCGATTCGAATACAACACTTTTTTTTAAGGGTATTAGACCAAACCGTCCGAAACTTTGACACATCCTGATCATCTAAGAATTGTCCTGACACATTGAAAATTTGGATTTTTCCAAACAATTTTTTTACTCAGCCTAGACCAGAAACAAAATGGCGGCGAGCTCTCATATTTCGATCAGTATACAATTATCGAAGGCTCTGATATGAGAATTGAAAAGGGTCAGGACAATTTTACGACAATTTAGAACACTCTGGTAGTCGATAAACTCGTATTTGAACGGGATAAAGGCAAAAAAAGTCTTGTATGCGCTTCTATACCAAAGCATTCAAATTCGAGTTTATCGATTACCAGAGTGTTCTAAATTGTCGTAAAATTGTCCTGACCCTTTCGATTCTCATATCAGAGCCTTCAATAATTGTATATCGATTGAAATATGAGAGCTCGACGCCATTTTGGTTCTGGTCTGGGCTGAATTAAAAAATTTGTTTACAAAATCCAAATTTTGTATGTGTCAGGACAATTCTTAGATGATCAGGACTGATGTGTGTCAAAGTTTCGGACAGTTTGGTCTAATACCCTTAAAAAAAAGTGTTGTATTTCAATCGACTGATTTGAAGGGTGTTTCACTTCACCTTAAGTATTGGTACTTACGACTCCCCTCGCTTTTTACTTGATATCGAACTTTTGGGAAGTTTGTCCAGAAATTCGAGCGGGTTCCAGGAGGTCTAATACCCTTAAAAAAAAGTGTTGTATTCCAATCGACTGATTTGAAGGGTGTTTCACTTCATCTTAACCCTTGAATTAAACCAGACGACTAGTACAACTAAATTAGACGTCAATGGACAGATTCGCGATGGGTGGCGATTTTTGTTTTCTCTGCACCTTTTGCATGCAAACTATATGGGAGAAAAATTAAGGTGGATGGAAAGGAAGGGTAAGTCGAGTTCCTAGCAAGGTACACGATGAGGCCCTTTTCGTGCGACCTTAACCCTTTAATTAATCTAGACGACTAATTTCGACGTCAATGGACATATTCGCGATGGGTGGCGATTTTTGTTTCTCTGCACCTTTTTGCATGCAAACTATATGGGAGAAAAATCCAGGTGGATGGAAAGGAAGGGTAAGTCGAGTTCATGTCAAGGTACGCGATGAGGCCCTTTTCACTTCACCTTAACCCTTGAATTAAACCAGACGACTAGTACGACTAATTTAGAGGTCAATGGACAGATTCGCGATGGGTGGCGATTTTTGTTTTCTCTGCACCTTTTTGCATGCAAACTATAATGGAGAAAAATCAAGGTGGATGGAAAGGAAGGGTAAGTCGAGTTCATGTCAAGGTACGCGATGAGGCCCTTTTCACTTCACCTTAACCCTTGAATTAAACCAGACGACTAGTACGACTAATTTAGAGGTCAATGGACAGATTCGCGATGGGTGGCGATTTTTGTTTTCTCTGCACCTTTTTGCATGCAAACTATAATGGAGAAAAATCAAGGTGGATGGAAAGGAAGGGTAAGTCGAGTTCATGTCAAGGTACGCGATGAGGCCCTTTTCACTTCACCTTAACCCTTGAATTAAACCAGACGACTAGTACGACTAATTTAGAGGTCAATGGACAGATTCGCGATGGGTGGCGATTTTTGTTTTCTCTGCACCTTTTTGCATGCAAACTATAATGGAGAAAAATCAAGGTGGATGGAAAGGAAGGGTAAGTCGAGTTCATGTCAAGGTACGCGATGAGGCCCTTTTCACTTCACCTTAACCCTTGAATTAAACCAGACGACTAGTACGACTAATTTAAACATCAATGGACGTATTCGCGATGGGTGGCGATTTTTGTTTCTCTGCACCTTTTTGCATGCAAACTATATGTGGAGAAAAATCAAGGTGGATGGAGAGGAAGGGTAAGTCGAGTTCCTAGCAAGGTACACGATGAGGCCCTTTTCGCACGACCTTAACCCTTTAATTAAACCAGACGACCTTTTCCCCAGACACGGAGAACATCAGATTCGTGTTCGCGGCTGTGAAGGACACGATTCTGCAGTCCAACCTAAGGGAGTACAACCTGGTGTAGAGAAGATCTCTTCCGCAAGGGCAACGATGGATGCGGCCGCTCCCGGTGGAGACCTTCCTCGAGGGGATCGCCGGGACGAAGCAACGGCCGAGCTTCCGCACGAGGTTGGAGGAGAAGAAGGAGAAGAAGGATCTTCGGGGTCCCAGGGATTTCTTTCGACGAGGAGGAGGAGGCGGTTGGCACGCCTGCTCCCGAGTCGCGCGAGTGTACCAACCTTAGCTAGAATAATTACCCAATTACGGGGGAAAGATTTTTCCGGCGAGAAAACGAGCAAGGACCTAAAATATCCGAGCGTCCCGCGTTCTTTCCTACCCTCTTCACCGGCTCGATATATGTGCATATATATACACACACACATATATATACATATATGCATATACATGTTTGTGTATATACATATAGGATACACAACGTCCGATTTAGTTTCGTACTCTTTGTTGAATTTGTTACCTTTTTATATAGCTCAGCTTAGGGTCGATCGAGCTCGGCCGACCGCGACGCCCGATTTTTTTACTATACGACGCGACGAGGGGGAGACGCGAAGAAAATGAAAACGGATAAACAAAAAAAAAATTATTAAGTACGTCGAGGAATTAACCAGTTAGCTGTGGTGCCCCCTTTTGCGAGCGAGTACCTATATGGATATGTTTTGTTTATCTCAGAAATTTAAATTTAAATACCCAATGGTCCCTACTTTATACGCATGACGAGTAACTCGTCAATCACAGAGTAGATGTCGCTGTTAAGATACTGGATCAAAAGGATGGGTTTATTTTCTAAAATTCACACTTTTATTACTAATGTATATTTATTTGGCCAACTTAAACATATATTACGTACTTATTGGACGAAAAACCCAAGAGAAATTAAATGCATATGATGGCAAGAATTTAAATTCCTACCGTGGCGTGGTATTCGGCAAAACAGGGTGTTACACATAATGGGACTTTGCAAAGGGAAAATACGATGCAATAGTGTCCTCAAGAAATTCCAGCAAAAAATTCACTCGCGATAACGTTGCATTATTTTTCTTGTATAATATATATGAATTCAAAGAACTAATATCTAATAGATGGCAAGCTGTTTCAGCCGGTGCACACGGGGCGCATGAGTTTACCTCAAATTATTTATATTTTTTATTCCGTTGTTTTATTCCGGCCTGGCCTCAAAATATTCCAAACATCTTGAAATTTGAGAATATGTTTTGTTTATCTCAAAAATTAAATTTTAAATAGCCAATGGTCCCTACTTTATACGCATGACGAGTATACTCGTCGATACACAAAATCGTGCCACTTCTCCATGACGAGTATACTCGTCAATCACAGTTAACTGGTTAAGGAATTAAGGAATACCACGAACGACGAAGAGAAACGATCGCCCTATGCGCGAAAGTCAAGCCGAGAGATCTCAGCGAGGTGTGTACGCGTGTGAGTAGATTTGTGCGAGTATGAGTGAGGAGAGAGAGCGAGAAAGAGAGGGTGCAAGAGCAGGGGGTCGGTTTAGTACCACGCGTCTCCACCAGGCGCGAAGCGAGCGCTCTCGTCGAGGATACGGAATCGACCCCCTAGGGGTCTGCTTCTAGGAGAAGAGGACGAGCGCGATCCGACCTCTTCCTCTCCAAGGTCCTTTGTCCTTATTTCGTCCTGCGATCCGCAGACCTGCGTCCTGTCCGCAAATTGTCACGATGCGGATATTTCAAATGAGAAATAGGAGTCGAATACGGTGGCATCGTGGAACGAAACATCCTCTCCCTTTCCAGAAAACGAAGCCATTTTGTGCGACGGATTTCCGCTTCAAAATGTCACTAGCTTTTTCTTTTTTTTTTTTTTCCAAAGTGAAGGCGCTGCCCTTTTATTTTCCTGCCGGGTATTCTTTGATTCCAACGATCTTGATTTTTTGTCGAGCATGTAATGGAGATACACTCTGGCATCGTGAAACGAAACATCCTCTCCCTTTTCAGAAAACGAAGCCATTTCGTGCGACGGATGTCCGCTTCAAAATGTCACTAGCTTTTTCTTTTTTTTTTTTCTTCCAAAGTTTGGACGCTGCCCTTTTATTTTCCTGCCGGGTATTCTTTGATTCCAACGATCTTGATTTTTTGTCGAGCATGTAATCGAGATACACTCTTTTTAGAGTGTATCTCGTCGCAAAAGAAAGGCTGATTCTTGTCCCTTTCCCGTTCCCCGAGATGGATATGGAGGATCGACTCGTCCCCAGGTTACCGGGAAGTGGCATCGCTTGTATCTACCTTAGGGCGCACCCCGACCGACGCGAGTGCTTCCTGGAGGACGCGGACAGGCCGCGGAATCGACGGCGAGGCCCTCGCGGCCGCCGGGGTGCGGACGAACCGCTCACTGCCCGCGCTGCCCGCTTCCCGCACTCTCCGGTCGTCCTCGTCCTCGAGAACCGACTCGCGAGGGAGAAAGTCGTCGTTCTTGGAAACCGACCCGCTAAGGATGAGGGCACGTAAAATTAGAAGTCGACCTCGAAAATCGCTCGCGACTGGTAAGGGCGTCGCTTGTACACGAATCTTCGATCATCGACTCGTAAGCGATAAGGACGTCACTTGTACGTACATTTTTAGCCCCGTCCAAGGAAACCGACGCGTGAGTCGTAAGGACGGCATTTATACATCAATTCTTAGACATCGTTCTCGAAAAATCGACCCGCGATAAGGACGTCGACTTATACGTTAATCGGACCCTCGAGGCGCCCCTTAGATCGAACCGAAATCTGAAGGTGGCGCCACTCGGCGGGAGGAATTGAAGTTATGGACTTTACCGACTTAGCGGCGTTCACCACCAAAGCGGGTACGGACTTCCACCGCTAGATGGCGTTAGCATCGAATCCGGTGGGAGGTAACCCAAACGTACTTTCTCGCTCGGATGAGGGAGACGCGACGCATAATGGGCGGTGTTTAGCAACGGGCGAAAAATGCGTGGGTATTTTGCACGTATAGGACTCACGCAACGGCTAGACGCCTCTGGACTAGGCGCCGAAACGTGGGTGACCCCCGGCCGCCCGCACGTAGAGTCGGCAACGGTTNTACTTTAACACTAGATTGCCGGATGCTGGGTATATACCTATTTTTCATGAAATTAGTCAATTTGACTCAACATCAAAATTGCTGGTATAGGGAATTTTTCATTCCCCCCTACTTTAACACTAGATTGCCGGATGTTGGGTATATACCTATTTTTCATGAAATTAGTCAATTTGACTCAAACATCAAAATTGCTGGTCTAGGGCATTTTTCATTCTCCCCTACATTAACATTAGATTGCCGGATGCTGGGTATATACCTATTTTTCATGAAATTAGTCAATTTGACTCAAACATCAAAATTGCTGGTCTAGGGAATTCTTCATTCCCCCCTACTTAGATTGATCAATTTGACTCAACATCAAAATTGCTGGTCTAGGGAATTCTTCATTACCCCCTACTTTAATTCCTACGTACCGAAAAGATGCCCAGAGACTTTCCTTATTTATACGTTTTATTTCTTCCGTGGACGCGTAGGGTTGTATGCGTAGATTGGCATTAAATGCGCCGTTTAGTTGGTACCCTGATTTATTTGGTACACCAAGGTCTCTCTGGTTACATGCAGAATGAATTCCCGGTGTAAACCTAAATTCATCGGATTTACCCATAAACCCCTGAAATCTGGCAACACCGCGGCGCTCCTAGTGCATCGCTTAGTGCAGGTGCGGCGTCCCCCGGGTCGAGACACGACACTGCGCGTGCGCCGAGGAGGGGCAGCATATAATGTCATACCTACTTCGGTTGGAAAACACTGAATTTATATGGAAAAAAATATAAATACATTGCATAAAGTATAACGTTAAGTGATAACAAGAATAATATTGAATAATAATACTGCTTGGTTTTCATTGTGAGTGCGTCCGAGAGAGAAAGAGATAGAGCGAGAGGGGCGGAACATGATTAACGCGCGTGCGCACAAGAGGCCAGAACGTGACCTCGAGTTTCCGTATAATAAAAAATATTAGAGAGAAAAGGATTAAGAAAAGGGAAAAAAATATTATTAAATACCGCGCATACCGACGATGCGTTTTACGTACGTTTTAACGAAGGACATCTTTGGACGTCCCGGCGCACCGTCGCCAGAGTGAGAGAGCGAGTGAGAGAAGAGATACCCTGTATCGGGCGAGGGAGAGAGAGAGAGAGAGGGAGCGAGGGGAACGGGCGTGAGTGAGAGCGAGAGGTGCGACCGAGAATTACGAGAACGAGCGAACGACGCGATTTGTGGCTATAGATCATTTGTAAATCATTTCTTGTCGAGGAAGTATACATTTCTTTTCTGAGAGCATCAAATACGTTGGGTATTCTTTCTGTGTGTATAAAATGTAAACACCTACGACGCGACACCCAAGATGAATGATCAATGTTTCTAACTTATTTATAATAAATAATATACATTAATGATAAAAATAAACGCCGTTTGAGACAGTAGACAACGACGCGCGACGCATCGTTCCTTTCGCCATCGATCCTGCATCCATTCTTGCTTACTCTTCCTCTTTACCTCCCATTCTTCACCTTAAAAATTGTCATGACACATACAAAATTTGGATTTTGTAAACAAATTTTTTTATTCAGCCCAGACCAGAACCAAAATGGCGTCGAGCTCTCATATTTCGATCGATATACAATTATCGAAGGCTCTGATATGAGAATTGAAAGGGTCAGGACAATTTTATGACAATTTAGAACACTCCGGTAATCGATAAACTCGCATTTGAACGGGATAATAATACACCATGTATGTAAGGAAGGCATTCATGTCCGCCACTGTACAATGGACTCCATCTCTCCATAATTTTCATTAATTGTTTTTGTTTATAAATATTTATTTTCTTTAGGAAAATCCATTCTGCCCCTCGAGCGATTCGAATTTCGCGCTGCGCCCGCCGCTAGTACGCTACGCCGCCGGAGAGGGCAGTGCGGACCAGGAGGAAACCATCGATGGAGTCCAGTGTACCAGAGATGAGCATAAGTTCTCGAGCTCGTTTTTTACGTTACGTTTACGTTACCACCACTAGGCTGCACCATGTACACGAGGAAGCCATCCATGACTGCCAGTGCCGATGGTCATGAATGGCTTCCTCGTGTACATGGCGCAGCCTGGTGGCGGTAACGTAAACGTAACGTAAAAAACGAGCTCGAGAACTTAAGTACTTGCGGTACCTGATGTATAATAAACTGTAAAATAATTAATGTAATAAAGCAACTTATTGAACGATCACAATGAGTACGTTTAATTAGACGAGCATGTCTAGCAAACCCTCTAATCGCCTATTCTTGATCCTTGAAAATCACTCGTAGATCTAAGGCACGAAACTTGGTGCCACCTCCTCCGTTGTCCTATGATCCTGTTAGAAATCGCCAGAGATGAAACAGAATTCCGTGCCACCTCCTCGATTGTCCTATGATCCTGTTACAAATCGCCAGAGATGAAACAGAATTCCGTGCCACCTCCTCGGTTATCCTATGTTCCTGTTAGAAATCGAAAATTTCAACCCCTAAAATTTTTGCTCGGGAGACACTCGGTGCCACCTCCTCGGTTATCCTATGTTCCTGTTAGAAATCGAAAATTTCAACCCCTAAAATCGTTGCCCGGGAGAATTCCGTGCCACCTCCTTGGTCATTCTATGTTCCTATTACAAATCGCCTGAGATGGAATAGGATGGATCGGACAACCGAGGAGGTGGCACAGAGTTTCGTATCACCTCCTCGGTTGTTCTATGATCCTATTCCATCTCTGGCAATTTGTAACAGGAACATAGAATAACCAAGGAGGTGGCACGGAATTCTCCCGGACAAAAATTTTAGGGGTTGAAATTTCCGATTTCTAATAGGATCATAGGATAACCGAGGAGGTGGCACAGTGTTTATCCCAAGGAAAAATATTAGGGGTTGAAATTTCCGATTTCTAACAGGATCATAGGACAACCGAGGAGGTGGCACCGAGTTTCGTGCCTTAGATTTACGAGTGATTTTCAAGGATCAGGAATATTCGATTAGAGGGTTTGCTAGACATGCCCGTCTAATTAAACGTACTCATTATGATCGTTCAATAACTTGCTTTATTACATTAATTATTTTACAGTTCATCATACATCAGGCACCGCAAGTACATAAGTTCTCGAGCTCGTTTTTTACGTTACGTTTAGATTACTACCACCAGGCTGCGCCACGTGCACGAGGAAGCCATTCATTACCGCCAGCATGTTGTTGCGACCTTCCTATAATTAACTAACGATTCACTGGGCGTAAATTATTGACAGGTTATATGAAAAACATTCCCGCGTAGGAAGGTTATGGTACCCTACGACTCTTTATATGAAAGAGGACTTTACTCGTTTACGCGCTTAAACTAATACTGCGTACATTGTTTCTAATCTTAATCAAGGACTGGAACTTACCGTGTAAACCGCGTTTACGTTAATTCCAGGCGACGGAGCGTCCGAGCGAACGAGCTCGCGTCGTTAATTTGTTCGCGAACAAAGGAACGGATGCGAGGGCTGAGGTATTCAAAGGGTTAAGTGCTTAAATCGGATTTTCGGTGTAATCCTTTTGGCCCCGGTATTACCTGCAGGAAACAGTTCAAACTGGCAGATAACGAAAGTTCAAAGGGCGGTTGACGAGCCGGGGACATAGCGGTCGGTCCTTGCGACCCTTCTCGCGTTCGGGCACCTTCGGGCGTTTCCGGCCGCGCTCGGGCGTCCGTAACGGTGCCTAACTGGAAGGACTCGACGCGGCGCGTGGCCCCGGTCGCTAATCCGTCTAATCTGCCCCAAATGAAATAGTTGCGATTCTTTTGGCGCGTCCCTCTACTGCGTTTCGGTATTTAAGTACAAGGGCACCCTTGACCGAGGGGCGAGGGAAGGTGGGATGGCTCCTACCGGCGATGCATGTATGTATGTATGTAACTGGGTCCGACATATTTGCGTCAGTTAGGCGACCCCTGCCATTGGCGTACCCGTTCGCTCCTGGAACCGATCAAATTTCTGGACAAACTTCCCAAAAGTTGGATATCAAGGAAAAAGCGAGGGGAGTCGTAAGTACCGATACTTAAGGTGAAGTGGAACACCCTTCAAATCAGTCGATTCGAATACAACACTTTTTTTTAAGGGCATTAGACCAAACTGTCCGAAACTTTGACACCTCACTCCTGATCATCTAAGAATTGTCCTGACACATTCAACATTTGGATATTTTGAAAACAATTTTTAACTAATCTAATTAGTCGATTCGAATGCAACACTTTTTTTAAGGGTATTAGACCTCCTGGAACCCGCTCAAATTTCTGGACAAACTTCCCAAAAGTTGGATATCAAGGAAAAAGCGAGGGGAATCGTAAGTACCGATATTTAAGGTGAAGTGAAACACCCTTCAAATCGGTCGATTCGAATACAACAGTGTTTTTTAAGGGTATTAAACCAAACTGTCCGAAACTTTGACACATCCTGATCATCTAAGAATTGTCCTGACACATTCAAAATTTGGATTTTTTAACTCAGCCCAGGCGAGAACCAAAATGGCGTCGATCTCTCATATTTCGATCAGTATACAATTATCGAAGGCTCTGATGTGAGAATCGAAAGGGTTAGGACAATTTTCGACAATTTAGAACACTTTGGTAGTCGATAAACTCACATTTGAACGGGATAAAGGCAAAGAAAGTGTTGTATGCGCTTCTTTGCTAAAACGATGGTAATAGGAGGTCTCGGAGTGAAAATTTAATTGACCTGGAAATCACAGATGGCGCAGGGGGTCCCTCCGCAGTCAATTAGGGCCCCAGAAAGCATAAATCCAGAGGATTTCTAGAGTTTTACTTCGCTTTCTTTATAATTATTGTACAAAAACGACAGGTG